TGGGGGCCGGCGAGTCCTCCCCAGGGGGCTCCTGCTTGATGGCCACGCGGCTCGCCCCCGCGTCCGGCCGGGCCTCGGCCTCGCCCCCGTAGCCGCTGTCGGTGTCCGTGTCGTTCTCGGCGGCCAGCTCGGCACTGGGTTGAGTCCGCTGGATGACCGGCACGCAGTGGGCCAGCGGCTCCAGCTTGGGCCCCGCGCGCTCCAGCCCCGGGGCGGACGCGGAGCCGGCGGGGGCGGCAGCCGAGGGCGCGCCGGCGCCTTTGCTCAGAGTGACCTGTTGAGTCAACAGCGGGGGGGTGGGCAAGAACTGGGTGGCCACGGCGTGCAAGTGGTTGATCAGCTGGACACACCGCGGCTCCCTGGGCGTCCAGCTCTCAAACCGGGAGAGGTATTGCAAGACTTCTTTGGCGCAGGTTTGAAATCCCGAGTGGAACGCATCCAAGTCGGACTGAATGGGCGACTTCAGAGCTCGCTCCCCTAGGATGAGGAGGGGGGTGGGGTGGGGGCAGAGGAACGGAGGCAAGAAGAAAAATACCGACGTGAAAACATCTGCTTATCACGTGGACCCTGCACTGACTACGGGGATCTCGCCTTTTCCTCGGTGTTCCAGTGATATCATCCACCGGTTGCCTAGAGAGGGGAGGGGGAGGGGGGAGCGGGGAGCAGGGGGGCGCTCTACTCCCAGCTGAAAACCAAGTGGAGAGGAGGGCGCAACCGTCACTTTAAATAAAAAACGGATTCCCGAGTTCCGCTGAAAGCCTTCAGGATGCTACGGGAAATGGGCACTTTCCAAGGAAGGGAAAGTATAAGCAATTTCACAAATGCGAGTGCGCCGTGGGTCCGCGGAAGGAGGGGGAGGGGTTGGGGGGGAGGAGCCCCAATGCTGCCGCTGGGTGGGCTGCCGGGTTTCCTCAAGGTGGATCGGCCTCTCTGATCTGACTTACCATTCTGTAAAGCAATTATCTTCTGATGCTGCTGCTCGGTTAAGGCTGTTAAAGCTTTCAAGTGTTTCAAAGTTAATTCCAAGACTACGGCTTTCTCCAGATGCCCCAGAGTCTGCAACGGTGCGAAAAAGAATGGGGCACTTGATTACTTAAAAGCACACACTGGGCTCGGCTGGCTGTCCATTGAGCACAGAAACTAAAGCCAACACTTTGAAAGTACTATTCCTATATACTTCCGGAGCTTTCCCAAGACAGGTTATAAATGATGACTTGCCTTGGAACACCTACTCGGAGTTTGGGGGGAACTCCAGACTCTAGCCCAACTTGTAAAGAATCTGATATTTACTTTTATTCTTAAGTCTCTAGGAGTAGTACCAGGCTATTAACATGCCCTTGGAGGGCAGCAAAGAATGAAAATGTGCATCTTACTGTCAACTTCAGATGTTCAGGCAGTAAATCTTTCAGCTGAGCAATGCATTCATTAATTCGGTCTCTTCTCTTCTTTTCTATTAATCTGTGCGGTAATTTGTAGGTATCCTTAATACAAAAGAGTCATGAAAGAGAGAAAACAATAAGCTAAACACTCATTTACTGGCTAGAACAACACCCCCACCGCCCCCATAGACATACTATGTGATGAATTATGCCCAAGAAATCTCTTTCCTCTGGGTTCTTCTGAAATGCAATTTAAATTCAGGTATGATGTTTAATCTCCCCCTGAGAGTATCCAGCAAACCACTTAAAATTCACAGTTGGGGAAGCTCAAGGGCTGGAATATATTTGCGGGCAGCGCTTCGCTGTGAAATCAATAGACCCAATTAACTATCCAGGCAGGTTATGGGGAACATAAACTTACACTTACCTTGCTATCGTCTCGCTTCATGCTCCTTTTGGGCTTACACATATACAAAGAGGAATAGTCCAGTCTGCAAAACAGAAATCAGCATCAGGCATCCATTCGGGGAGGGGCTCTGCCCTCGCCCGCTCCATACCACTTTCTGGAGAAGAAAAAAAATCAAACTGAAGCCGAGACTGATATTGGCAAGGGTGCGTGCACCTTACCCTATAAAATCTCTATGTTCCAGTAACTGTCTCTCTTGCAAATGAGGAATTCCTTCGTCCATGTTCAACCGCTGTCCGTTTCCTCTGTTTCGATTTTTGGGGTTCTGTTCTATAATCTGTGGGACCGTAGCCTTGAGAGATCCTGGGGGGGAATCTGTGCGTTTCCAGTCTCTCTCTCTCTCCCTCTTCAGTGCAGTGTTCAAAGTGTGAAGCAGTTGGTCCCCCCTCCCACCGCGCTCGCTCGCTCGCACACACGCACACACACACACGCACGCACACTCGCGCCGGCCCCACTGCGCTGGTAGTTTGCTCTCACTCCGGGCAGTGTTTGGCCACAGGGCACGCGCGTCCCCGGCCAGACCAGCACCCAGCTCACGTGCGGAACGTACCATCCGCGGTCCAGCCCGGAGGGGGGCGGGGGAGGAAGGGCCGGGCCGGGAGGGGGCGTCAGGAGCGGGCTGCGGGGGGAGGCGCGCGGCGGGAGGGGGCGGGGACACCTGATCAGGGCCACCGGAAAGGAAAAACAACTTCGGCCAAGCGATTCATCTTCCCAAAGCGACGCAGCCAGCCGGGGTGGGGGAGGGGCACTGGGGTGCGGGGCGGCCGGGGGTTCCTCGCCTTGGAAATGCGACTCCCTGGCTTCGTCGGCGCGTCATTACGGTGCAGGAACGTGAACGTGGCTTTTTTCTTTCTTTCTTTTTTTTTTTTTTTTTGCTCTACCACCGACCGTGCACTTGGTTTGGACCAGAGAAAGAGAATTCGCGGTGGGTAAACTTCAGTCCCTTAGGAAAATCTGGAGACTTGTTTGCTCACTGCTCAGTGGCCTGGGGTGGGGCGGGGGTGGGGGACCCCTCGGCCCGGGTTGGAGGTTGCCCTGAAAAAGGGCCACTTGGAATCCGCTTCCTGAAGGGCTGAAGATAAATGAATATGTAGTCACTGGGTCAGAATGTCGCAATCCAAATGTCTTTCGGCGACACGGTGTCCCTGGGCCACCCAAACTTCCAGCAGCAGCCGGAATTGCGGTGCCACTAATCACAGCAGCAGATGACGACGTTTGGGGCCTCTGGAGCTCCCGGAGGATCGCGGCGGGGAGGGCGGGGGCAGCGGAGGATGGCACGAGAGGGGCCACCGCGGAGAAGCAATGCAGCATTACCCCTCGCCAGCTCCACACGGCCGCCCCTCGGCGCCTCGGGCGGCGCTGCGTGTTTCCCCGCCCCCCTCCCCCTCGAGTGATAAGCGACGCGGGGAGTGTGCAGAGCCCACGTTTACTACCGCTGGCACCTCCAAAGCCTCCCTCCTTAATCCGGTCGCAAACGGCACCAGCACAGGGCCAGCAACGTGATCCGACCTGCCGCGGCTGCCACATCACCGCGCGGGGAACCCGTGTGCGCGCGCGCGCGCGCTAGCCCTGCAGCCGCGGCGCCGGGAGCTGGGAAGCACTGGCCTGGCCAGCCTGGCTACCTTGCCCAGCGCCGTCCCTGGAGTGTGACTCACAGCTAGTGAGAGTTCCCCGGAGGTGCCCGGGCGGCGCCTTGCCCCCGGCGCCGCCACAGAAAGGGCCCTCGGAGGCCCAGGGCCAGCTATTCCCAGGTCTGCCGCCCCGTTGCTCCCACCACTCGCGTCGGCCTGGGGAGTGGCTGGAGAGAAGGCACATTAATCTCAGTATGTAGAAGTAGATAAAAAAAACCTTGGGGCTCTCCTTTCAGTACCAAGAGTAAGATCACATTTTCTCGAGACATTATTTTTATGCCAGTGGCTGGTGAACCAGGGGGAGAAGCACAGCCTAGGCACTGGTACCGGCAACAGTAGGGACTGGGGGGAACACTACGCGTCCCTCGGGCCGCCCGCGGGGCACCGGTGCCGGGGACTGATCTGGGTCGCCAGAAGCGGCGGCGGGGGAGGTCACGTGTCTGCGGGAGTCGCGTCTCCTCCCTGCCGCCGCCGCCGGGAGCCGCCGGGGCCGTGTCGCGCGCTGCTGCAGTCTCCCGTGTCCTGGGCGGAGACGCGCGCGTCTGGCTTCGTGACTCCGGCGGCGGCCCCAGCTCACCCCGGCGTGGGGACATGCTCCCCAACGGTCCACTTGGGCTCCTTAGAGGGCCTTTTAAGGTCTCCCCGCTTCATCGAATAGGGTGAATTTTTGTTTTGCGCCAAACATTCAATTTAATAATGAATACTCAACACGTTTTTTTTATGTTGATTTTATTTTAAAACTCCATCCAACCTCTCTCTAGTTTCCAACTGACTGAAGATCATTCTCTTTGGTAGGGAGGGAAATTTGGAGCCCTAAAAGCGTTGTATCTCTGCAGGATTGTAGGGTAGGTGTTTGCCCTTTTGTTCCTAATTGACCAAAAGGGGGGAAGAAGGATTCTGTTAAGGCGAAGGTTTTTGTTTTGCTATTGTTTTTTGTTTTTTTAATGACAACATCACCCTCCCTTGTAGGTTGTTGGATTAGGTGGAGCAGGGTGAAGGTGTAGGTAATATTGGCTCCAGAGCGTTCTGTTGAACGAGATGGCGAGAGTATTTACCAAAAATGAAATAGAGACTGACTCCACGCATCTTGGCCTCACAGGACACTAGGCAGACATCTGGTCAGGCGAGCCTCAGGGACTAAGTCAGAGGTAGACTCTAAAGCTAGCTAACTGGAGAGGAAAGGCGATCAAGGGCGGCTGGCTGTGGCTGCGAAAGTCCCGTCCCTTAAAGAGATAGAGCCTGGCACTGTAAATGAAACCTTCCTGTTATTATTCTTTATATCGCCTCTCCCGGCCACCTCCCCCCCCCCCATCTCTCCTGTCCTGATTCCCCAATTCTCCCAATTCTGTCTACATTTTTGTTTCCTTTGCCACAACCTGTTTTTTCTGGTACCCAGCTCAAGCTTTTAAAGCAGTCAGCTCTCCTGTTTTGGTCTCTCACTCTTTGGCCTCTTCTGGCTTTTGTGCTCATTCATTTCTTGAGGCTTCTGAACCCTTCCTCTTCTTTCTTTTCTTTCCCTTCTGTTCTCCACCCCCCTCCTTTTTGTGTTTTTTTTGCTTTTTGTCCTTTTTTTTTTTTTTTTAAATCTTTCACCTGGAGGATGCTCCTTACTTATCTGTGCCTCTTAAACTTGATTCTTAATCTTTTACCTTCCGGAGTATGCGCTTAGTTTAACGCCTCCAAAAGCCCCTTTGCTCCAAGGACACTATAGTTATCACTGCCAAGTATGTCACCACTGCCGTGACAGTGATGAGAGCAGCATGCACCATGCTAAGGACTCTTTGGAGCTTCATGAACTATTCAGTCACAATCCCATGAGGAAGATACTATTATTGTCCCCATTCTACAGATGAGCAAATAGCTCACTGTCTAGGGAAATTAAAAAATGAGTTCTTAAAGTACAGTGTGCTCCAGAGCTGGCCCTTAACTATGGCTCCTGATCAAGAGCACATAAATGTTAACAAGCAGTTTAAGCAGTATTTTAAATAAACACTTACCAGTGTGAATGTGGCCACTTTTTTCAATGTGTATGAGTGTGGCCACTGCTGTAAGAGAGATGGGGAAGAGAAATGTTAACACTGCTGCTGATGGTAACAAAACAAGGATGTGGAGCAAGGAGGCAGGCTTTTATCCCTGGGTGATTCAAATGACATCTACTCCAAGTTTATGCATTTGTGTCTAAACATCCCAATTAATTGCTGCCATTTCATACAGATGGACATAGTTTAGAAAAGGCTAATGGGGGCCCTCCCTGATGGTGCAGGGGGTTAAAGCACAGCACTGAGAAGCTAAAGCCGCTTGAGCATGAGTTCCATCACCAGCCCCAGAGGTGACCCACATGGCGCAGCAGACCTCTCCTGACCCGCCCACTGCTCCCCACTCTGTGGTGAATCCTCTCACAGCCCCTGAGCCTCTGGCCTATACCCCAGTTCCTTATGCATAAATAAATAAATCTTTAAAAAGAAAGAAAGAAAAGGCTAATGGTGGTCAGCTGGTCACCAATTCCCCTGAACAGACCAAGCCAAACTCTAATGTGAAGGTTTTAGGTTAGTAATAGGAAGAGTTCACCTGTGGTGAGGTTAGAAAGGGGAAAAAATTCCCTTGTCTGACAAAGGAACAGAAGACTAGAATGCCCTCTTTGGGGATGTTTAAAAATAGGTTGAGTCTTGTCTCTTTGGGAAGGTTTAATGCTGCCCTCCTGAAAGCCAAGGAGCTACAAGATGAGCTCAAAGCCCTTTTGAGCCTATAATTAAAGAATTTGGTGATGCCTTTCTATCAATTAAAGAGACCCAACTTTCTCCTTTTGATGAGTGAGGGAGAAGCTGCTTCTCTTGGGTTGAGCAGGGAAATCACTACCTACAGAGAAGGAAGAAAAGGAAGCACTGTGTGTCCCCAGTTCCTGCCGCCCCTCCCCACCTCCTAAAGGTTGAAGCTCTGCACTTATTAGAGTCACCTTGTGACTTCAGAAGGTCTTATCATGTTCACATGCAAAATCTTGGATTTCCAGCACAAACAGAACTCTCTGGAGAGGATTAAAGTTTCCAGAGAGAAGAACAGTGTTCTGTGTCCTTAGGGATCTGTGGCCCTGCTGCTATCCTGGAGAGGTGACCGGTTTGGGGTGGCGGGGGGGAGGATGTTGCAGGGACTTGTGCAAGGGGTCTGATTCAAGCTAACTGCACCTCATATGGCCTTAAACTTCCAGATCTACCCAGTGGTATGGGGCCTCCTGGTTCACTGTGTAAAGGCCCCTCAGGGGGTCAAATGCCTAGTGGAGAATTTATAGTCATTTTAGAGCCTCTTAACTAGAATGGGAAGGTCCCCTCACTCATTAGGTTGAGTTCATAGGAATCCAAAACAAAAAGTTGAGGGTAAAATCTAAGTGGTGGGAGTGGAGTGGCAGGAAAGGGTCTAGGATGGGATTAGTGATGGGCGCTCTGGTGAAAACTTCCCCTGGAGTCCCTTTCCCTGGCATACACACCTCTCGGGAGAAAGGCCAGTGTTGCCAGACTGGGAGACATCACAGAAGGGAACAGAGGAGGGAGGGAAACCCCATGCTACTCCCCAGAAGCCAAGTATGACTTTAAAATATTGATAATGCTATTTGCTGAAGGGACCAGATTTAAGATCTCAAAATAGAAGGTTGGGGTTTCCAGCTATGTACTCAGCAAATTAGTGGGAACAGGTACACAGGCCCATATTGAATTGGTAAAAGAACTTAAGTCTCTCTGTAGCTGCCAACGAATGTGTCCTGGCAGTTGTCAACATACATGTGAATCCATTTAATATGTAGGTGACAATATTCAAGAAGTATACACACTTACGGTTTTTGCATGGTGCCAAGGAACAGGCCATATTGGGTAATTGAAATGAAATTTATCACTGCTGGAATCACATGTGCATGTGTGATTATCACAAGTGCTCATGCTTTTCTCCCACCTGTGTTCTCCTGCTCATCCTTCAGGTGCCATCTGACCATCACTTTCTCCAGATACCCTCCCTGCCTGCCTGCCCAGACCATGGCCATGTCCTGCTGTAAGCCGCTGGGATCTGTCATTCTCT